GCTATCTAACCACAGGACCACTTCCTGTTCCAGTGGAATTAGCTCCAGAAAACTACTGGGCTACCCCCAGAATGGTTAGATTTATATGTTCTGGAAGAACAGAATGGTCCAATATTCTCTGGAACATTTCATCCCTCGGGTGGTGAGTTCTGCATATCCATACTGTTAAACTGCTCTCTTAGAACATGATTTTCTAATATTCAGTTTCATTTTGCTTAAATCAGTTAATTCAAGGAACCACAGAAAACAGTTTTTGACCTTCTCCTGTGTGAGAGCCTTTCATGTATTTGATGAGTGTTATCATATCTTCTTTCATTCTTTTCAAGACTAAACATTTCTAATTCCTTCAACCTCTCTTTAGAGGACTTAGTTTCTAGTCCCTGATCATCCTACTTCCTATTTTCTGAATCTGCTGCAGTTTGTCTGAATTTTTTTTAAAAAGTCATGCCCCCAACCTGCAAATAATACTCAAGGTGGGATCTGACAAATGCAGAATAAAATGCAGCTATTAATTCTCAGGATTTGATTTATGCATTTGCATTTGCCTATTTTAAATTTAATCATGTCACTTTCAGTCCATTTTTCTAAACTATCAAGAACATTCTGAAATTTGTTGTCTTCTAGATTTTGTAAGGCTGCAAAAATATACAAGACCACAAGATGACAGCAAAGAGGCAGTATTTTGTTTATTTCTTTGCTGCCATTTAGTGGTCATTATTTTTTTTGAAACCCAGATCTGATACCCCTAAAATATTATAGGAGGAGAGCTGTGTTTGTCTATGGTAGCTAAAAATTCAGAGGAGTCTGGTAGCACCTTTTCTGATTAACAAATTTTATGAAAAGCATACATTTTTGTAAGCTGCAGCTCACTTCCTCAAATGCACGGAGTGGCTAAAGTGATGTAGGATTTAAATTGGGATGAAGCAGGGGGGAGGAAGAGGAGGGGAAAACAAGTTGGTTTTGCAGGTGCAGGTTATATGTAAGACAGATTACAAATCTCTTATCAATTAAAAATTGTGATGTGTTAATACCCATTCTATTTGTTGAAACCTTTTGATGTGTGTTCAGCAATTTCTCACTCAATTGTGCTATTAAAATCCTGTTATTTCAAATTGATCATTTTGAGATCTGCAGTAGAGTGTCCTGGGAGATTTAAGTACTCTGATATTACTTAATGTTGTTTTTGTTTTGAGTCCTGATGTCAGATTTGTATCCATTAATTCTTTTGCACAAAGTTTGTCCCATTTGTCCTATGAAGAATCCAGAGGAGCATTGCTGGCAGACGATGGCATCTATCACATGAGAGGAACAGCATGTGAAGGCACCTCTAATCTTCTGTGTGTACTTCTATCCTGTGATGTGCTGTTGGTGTAGATGCAAGGTCAAAGCAGACATTTTTGTTTGTTGCAAGATCTGGTTTCCATGTAGGCATCGTTGTCCTATTGTTTGTTGTTGCTTGTGAGAGTCTGCTTCAGGTTGGGTGGTTGACTATGCAAGTATGGGCCTGCACCTAGTGCCTGAGAAAGTGTAGTGTCATTGTCCAATATGGCCTGTAACTTATTAATACTGCAATGCATGTGAGCTGCGAGCTATAGGTGACAACTGCAATGTTCTGTTGCTCTGTTTTTGTGGGCTGTCTTTTAATAGAACCTCTCTGGAATCAAGATCAACAACAGATCAATAGACAAATTAATCAAGCCAGATTGATAAACTCAACTCCTGTCTAATGAATATTTTAGAACTGCTTAAGTGTAGAGGAGCACAGAGAAGAACTTGGAGAAAATATGTGTCAGAAACACACTCACTAGTCTTTCTCTGGTTAGTCAGAAGTAAAGTTTAC